GCCATTGTTTATATTTAAACAGAAAAATGAAATGGCATACTAATATTACATGTTATGTATTATGTGAGAGCATATACGGAATATGAATCATGTTATTATTGGATACATATTTATCTGTATATATTACATATATACAGATAAATATGTAAATATATACAGATAAATATGTATCTGTATATATTGCCTGTAAAATTGTGGCCCCCTTGTTTAGAAAATTCTGATCCGTCCCTGTGAAATCAAATGATGTTTCAATTCTTATCTCTTAATACGCCTCATCTTTGCCAGTGTTCAATAATGCACAGAGTATAAACATATAAAATGTATATGATTGTATAATATATTTTTATGTTTCTCTCATTAGAATAATATGGTTAATATTGAAAGATTATTATTGTGAATAGTTTTGTTTTATTTTTTATGATCATTATTATAATGCATAGTATTGTGTCACATATGCAAAGTAGATTACAATCTAGTTATTAATAATAAAATTGGTTTGATTTTTGTTTTTGGTCAACAGATGTGCAAAAGGTGATATTTGCACAGATGTTTGGAGGGATAGTGTTTGCGTTTCTCGGTGGTCAGCCTTTGATAGTCTTGTTAACTACGGCTCCTCTTACCTTATACATCAAAGGTAAGTGAGATGATGATGACAAAAAATTAATACTTTCTTGCTAAAAGCAGTGCTCATATTATCCATCATTCTAACTGCAAACTTAATATACTTACAACACTTACAACTAGTGATTGGTTCTGGTTACAAATTTCTTTTAAACTTTTTGGTCAGTAATTACATCAGTTTATTAATAAAATTTATTATGATTAAAAAATTCAAATTTAGTTTCATATACCAAGGAGGTTTCACTCAGCGGTGGCTCCTGAAATATGCCAACAAGGGATCAACCAAGTCTGACTAGGGGCTTAAACCAAGGGCCCTTCCCCCCTCCCCCCTCCCCCAATCTAGAGGCTTGGTCAGTGTTCCTGTATATAATCCATGGTTAGGCTGTTGGGGACAGATTTTATGGTTCTATGATGGACCAGAACTGCTTTTAGACCACAGTATCAGGTATAAGCAACCATAATAGCTTTGTTTGGATCAGCAAATTAATAATTTTAGCTTGATGACCAACAGGAGTGAAGGAGTGAAATTTCTGCCCTTGGTGCAGCTGCTAGTTGCACTGGGTGCTGTTGGGTACATGCAATGTGCAGACAGCCCTATTTCATTCTACTCTGAAATATGTGACCGGCTCTGGCAAAACAAGCAGTTTTGTAGGAAAAATTTAAAATTGACTTTTTTTAATTGGTTGAATATTACTCTTAGCAAAGATATGAATATTTAATTCATTGGATGTCAGCTATGTAGGTTTTGAGAAAATGGCTTCCAAAGATTCCAAAATTAAATAATAGTTTATTATTAAGATTTTTATTTTAAAAATAATTTTAATGTACCTTTTAGTTAGATTAAGTGATTGATATTTTGCAGAAATGTTCTTCAGTATTTATTTATTTTTTTAATAAAATGCAAAAACCTGAAAATGTTCAAAATTCTGATTTTCAAACATTTTGGGTACTTTGGAAAATTATAAATTGCAACAAATGGAGGGTTTTGCCAGATCACATGCTTGACTTGATTTAGTTGCACATAACCATGGGAGTGAGGTCCTTGCTTTTCTTGTGACATTGTAGTCTTGTCATCAGTTTAGTGCAGGTCTGTATTAACAGGTTTAAATATATATAAAATAACAATTGGTATGGCACATTAATATTACTGAAAAACATCAGTTAATGTAATTAAATTATCCCCTAGACACATTTAGTATCCATTGAAACCATGTTCGCAAGCATGCAAGGTCGTAGCTGTGTGGTAATGGAATTAGCAAAATGTTTATTACATGAAAAAATATGTTATTTAAAATCAGTGTATTGTGAAATTATTTTAATTATATGTGCAGCATTGATTTTACTACCAGCTTGCAAAACAAATATTTCTTTAAGTATTAAAACAAACAAAAAACAAAAAATGTATAAGTAACTTTGAAAGCAAAAAAAGAAAAACATGTCGAGCATGATGAGAATAAGAAAATAAGCCACTTCTATTGATCCAATTTGTAAAAATTAATGAACTTAAAATATATTTCTTAACCGTGCTTACTTAAAAATACTAAAAACAAAAGTTTATGATAGTACTGATGGAATTGATAACTTACAAAATGATCGAAAACAATGTGGAAGTGCCAGACATTCCCCAAATAAGAATCAAATTTCCCTGACGAGAAGACGAATGTCCTCGATGAGAGAGCCACACTCACCTCAACCCCCAACATGGCTGGAGCAGATTTTAAGAATAGATACCAATATGCCTGGAAATTGCACTTTCAGACTGTAAACATGCACATACAAAGCAGTGTTCTCCGACGAAATGGTGACTTGACATTCAGCGGGACTTAAGCTTTGTCTACACTATCAAATTTCATCAAAAAAGCATCACATAAAATTTGATTGAACATAGAGTTGAATAAGTTTTTTTTAATACAATTTGATGATATGTGATATGACGTTATCGTACCCATATATGGGCGCATTACATTTTTTTGTCACATAAAATTTGATAGTGTAGACAAAGCTTTAGGGTTTCTTGACGGTTGTCTTGGACCCCACTGGGTAGCGCTTATAATTGTTGGATCCTCGCATTTTCCTGCTAATCTATTTTTGATCCTAGCTTAAATTTGATGTAAATTCACATCACTGGCCTTATAACTTGACTTTGACTTTCGTCAAAGAAATAAACATTCAGCATTCAAGAGGGAATACAGTCACTGATGTCCTTTTTATTCGGTGCATGCAGACAGGTAAAAATCGTGCGATGATTTCAGGCCAGGCTACGGCCTATGCCTAGTAATAGTAGAAGGAGAAGGCCCGGGCGGCCTGCCTGCTGCATCTAAATTTGTTCCTTGAGTCTTTAAAATAGGTCTAGAATATTTCTATTAAACGTTCAGTTTGTTGTGTTTATGAGGGTCCATTGATTCAATGTAATATTGAATTTGAAGTAACTTTCTTCAGGTTCTAATTAAGCTTGTTTTACGAAAGTAATTTTCAATTACAATTCAATTTTTATCGCGGTGCGCGATGTATTTGCGGTGACGAAAAAATGAGGGATTTTTTTTTGCACACGAACCTAAAAATAATCAAGCCAAGCGTCCACTAATAGAAAAATTAGTGGACGCTAAGGAATTATCAAATAGCATTGGGAGTTACAGTGATGACGACGTCATGATTGACTTTGTTTATTATGTAATGTTTAGATAATTTGTACGTTTTGTCTGTTTTAATAATATTAGTTGTGTTTTCATGCTTGTTATTACTGTATGTTAACACACTGGATTTGCCCTCTGGGTTTGATGCGAGGTTTATTATATCTAATAAATAAATAAAACTTAAAAATAATTGTTGAGGTAATTTTTTCATTCTAATTTTTAATTGAAATCTAAAACTTTACAAAGCTTATTAACTCAACTCTATGTGGTATTAACATCAGATTCACTAGGCTACTTGCTTTCTTGTCTATGGGCAAGCAGAATTGGCTTTCTCACAGAATTGGTGTTAGTTTCAATGGGCAAGTGGTTTCATATTGCTTAAATCTTGCTAATTATATGATTCCAGCATATTTGATTGTGATATTAATATGCATGTATGTATTTTTTTTTCTTTTGATTCTATTGTTTTAGTTATCTACAGTATTTGTGAGGATCTTGAGTTGAACTTCTTTGCTATGTATGCATGTGTAGGCCTATGGAATGCCTTCTTCTTGGTCGTCTACTCTGTCGTGGATGCTAGTCTACTTATAAAGTGGTCCACCAGGTGATAAATTTGATGCGAGAAGCCTAAAATAATCTTGCTCCTTTTCTATCTTTATAAATTCTATAATATTATATTACACTTAATGCATTTTTTTAGACTTAGTGATGAAAAATATAATTCTATTTTTGTATTGTTTTTAATTGATTGTTACATTAGACCATGGAGGAAATAGTTAAGACAGTTTATTATTTTAGCATAATTTAAGAAGATGCATTTTGTGGTGAGCCAACCATTATTCTTTAATGCTTGTTGAAAGTATAAGCAACCTGATCTTGCCAGCATTCTATTGGCTGTGATGGTGTCTGAATTATGCCTATGACTGGATGTGCTTTGTTGACCAATAGAATGTGTGTACTACCGTACGTAATGTGCTTCCACAAAACTCAGACATAAAAGCAAGGTGATATTTAAAGAAAATCAGTTTGTCATGAATAAAGATTTGATTTTTTTCATCTGACAGAATTATTGTAACATTGAGAAACTACAAATTGTAGTCTTATTTAATTTCTGTAACCTTTTGCATTTTGTTTGGATAGTGGTTGCTATGTGCATTTGTATTCAAACTGTGTGCGGTCATGCATAGCCGGTGCTGGTTTGCTCGGTTGTACTAATACAAAATCCTTGATTTTTTATTGAATTGATAGAAAATACTACATAACCTATGTAGTATAATGTATTTTTGAATTGAATTGAACCTATTAAATTGTATTCTTATTATCTGAAGCTGATTTAAATGATTATTTTAAAACAAATATTTTGAATATGTTTCTTAGAATTGAGAAACGGACATAAATCTGAGTTGTTAATGGATTGTTTTGAATTGTTTTCAACAGGTCTACAGAGGAGATATTTTCCTTGTTTATATCAGTGGCATTTAGTGTGGATGCCATTAAAGACTTAGCTGGTAGTAAGTAGATCACTTCACAACATATATCATTCAGGCATAAAGCTAAGCAATGCCACACATTCGATTATGTCAGCAAAATGGGGGACCAAACACTTAATAAGGCATAAGACAAGAATGATTTTATTTGTTCACAATTAAAATGTAATGAAATATGTGCAAGTCTAGGAATCCATTAGATTTTATGTATTTAGTAATAATAATAGGAATAATAATGTTAGTAAAACCTACCTTAAGGGGAATTTAGACAGTGGAGAATTAGAGAACAATTAAAAAGACGACGATTAGGGGAAAAGAAAAAAAAGATGTTCCCCTCCAAATTAAAGCATTTTATAATAATAGTAATAGTAATTATGATAATAATAATATTCATATATTATATATATATATATATATATATATATATATATTTTT